TCGCGTTTGCTGCAGCAGCAGCAGCAGCAGCAGCGGACCAACGTGGGAATCCCCGGCTTGCGGCGCCAGAGCCTCACAGCCTAGCAGCAGCAGCAACAGCAGCAGCAGCAGCAAAGCAGTATCTGCAACAGCAGCAGCAGCAGCAGAAGTCGAAGCAGCAGCAGCAGCAATGGGGGGCCCCCCAAAGGCAGCAGGGGAAGCAGCAGCACAGGGGCCCAGGGCCCCTGTGCTGCGCCTCAAGGAGCCAGTGCTGCTGGCAGACAGCAGCAGCAGCAGCAGCAGCAGCAGCAGCAGCAGCATTATGAAGCGCATGGACAGCTTCAGCACCGCCAGCAGCAGCAGCCGCAGCAGCAACACCAACAGCAGCAGCACCCCCTCTGCAAGGGACAGCAGCAGCCCTTTCGGCAGCAGCTGCAGCGGGAGAAGTCCCAGCAGCAGCAGCAGCAACACCCCAAGCAGCAGCAGAAATATCCCCAGGAGCAGCAGCAGCAGCAGCAGCCCCAGCAGCAGCAGCAGCAGCAGCAGCACCCCCAGCAGCAGCAGCAGCAGCAGGAGAGGCGGCCCCAGCAGCAGCACCCCGAGCAGCAGCAGCAGCAGCAGCAGCAGCAGACGGGGCGCCCCCCGGGGGGGGCTGCTGCTGCAGCAGCAGCAAGCAGCAGCAGGCAGCCACACGGAGACAGAAGCCCCGGGGCAGCTGAACACTTTGCTGCTGCAGCGGCAGCAGCAAGCAACTCCCATTTTGCGGCTGTCTGTACACCCCAGAACTGGCGCCGTCTCCCGCAGCCAGAACCCTCCGGGTCCCCAAACCCTAAACCCTAAACCCTAAACCCTAAACCCTAAGCCTCGGGCAAGGCGGGGGTCCCAGCTTGGGCTGTGGCGAGGCTGCCGGGGCGTTTAGGGTTTAGGGTTTAGGGTTTAGGGTTTAGGGTTTGGGGTTTGTGTGTTTCAGAGTTGTCGTCTCGCTCTCCCCTCGGCGGAGCCCCTGCGCGCCTGCGCCTCAGCAGCAGCAGCAGCAGCAGCAGCAGCAGCAGCAGCAGCAGCAGCAGCAGCAGCAGCAGCGGGGGGCGAGTGCTGCAGCTGCAGCACGAGGGCTACCGCGAGCGAATCGAAGCAGCAGCAAATGGAACCCTCAGGTGGGGAGAAAAGGAAGCAAACGACGGCAGCTGGGTGGAGAAGTGGGCAGTGCAGACCCTGCAGCAGCAGCAGCAGCAGCAGCAGCAGCAGCAGCAGCAGCAGCAGCAGGATCGCGTGCTGGAGTTCGGCCAGAGCCAGGGCAGAAACTACCGCACCCACGAACGGTAACCCTAAACCCTAAACCCTAAACCCTAAACCCTAAGCTTCCAAGCCCCCTGCCTCAAGTATGGTGCTGCTAGGGTTTAATGGCCAGACCTAGGGTTTAGGGTTTAGGGTTTAGGGTTTAGGGTTTGGGGTTTAGGGTTTGGGGTTTAGGGTTTAGGGTTTGTCGGCAGGTGGGTAACCCGCTGGGAGGAAACGGCGCGCGAGCGCCGGGTCGAGAAGGTGGTGCAGGAGCTGCTGCCGCAGCAGCAGCAGCAGCAGCAGCAGCAGCAGCAGCAGCAGCAGCAGCAGCAGCAGCAGGAGTCGGAGGTGCTGCAGGAGTGGGAAGAAGAAGAAACTGAAGACAAAGAAAATGGAATAATTGAAATTAAAAAAAAAGGGACTGACAGACAAAGACAAGAAGGGAGACACTGGACTTTGCGGCTGCTGAAGCGGCAGCCAGCAGCAGCAGCAGCAGCAGCAGCAGCAGACGGCGCAGCAGCAGCAGCAGCAGCAGCAGACGGCGCAGCAGCAGCAGCAGCAGCAGCAGCAGCAGCAGCAGCAGCAGATGGGGCGGGAGACGCCGAAAGGAGGCTTCGGGGCGCGGCGGAGGAGCTGCTGGGGGCTGCCTGCTGCTTGCCAGCAGCAGCAGCAGCAGCAGCAGCAGCAGCAGCAGCAAAGCTGCTGCCAGGAGAAGAGCTGGAAATATTTGAAGAGAAAACTTCTTCGGAAACGAGGGGGCGGCTGGTGCACAGGGAGGCGGGCGGGAGACTAATTTACGAAGCCACTTGGAGAGAAGCAGCAGCAGCAGCAGCAGCAGCAGCAGCAGCAGCAGCAGCAGCAGCAGCAGCAGACAGGGAGACGCAGCAGGAGGAAGTCTGGGTAGAGAGGGATGGCTCGAAAAGGGGAACAAAAAGAGGCACGGGAAAAGAGTGAGACTCTTGTTGCTGCTGCTGCTGCTGCTTTTGCTGCTGCTGCTGCTGCTGCTGCTTTTGCTGCTGCTGCTGCTGCTTTTGCTGCTGCTGATGAAGCTGCTGCTGCTTTTTAGGCTGCTGCTGATGATTAGGATGCTGCTGCTGGTTAGGCTGCTGCTGCTGATTAGGTTGCTGCTGCTGCTTAGCTGCTGCTGCTGATCAGGCTGCTGCTGCTCTAACTGTTACTTCTGCTTCTGCTGTTGTTAGAGGCGCTGCTGCTGCTGCTGCTGCTGCTGCTGCTGCTGCTGCTGCTGCGGCTGCGGTTATCCGGAGGCCTTGTTGTTCGTTTTTTCTGCGCAACCAATTCAACCCTCAAACTAATTAATTAAATTAAATTAAATTAAATTAATTTATTATTTATTTATTTATTTATTTATTTATTTATTTATTTATTTATTTATTATTTATTTATTTATTTATTTATTTGCTGCAGCGGGTCCTGCTGGGAGGAGCAGTGGGAAGCAGCAGCAAACGGCTGCCGCCGCTGCACAAAAACAAAAAAAGAAAAAAATAAAAAAATAAAAGAAGAAATTGGAATTCGAAAGAAAGAAGGCACTGAAGACCAGCTGGAGGAGTTCTACGAAAAGTCCGGAGCTAGGGTTTAGGGTTTAGGGTTTAGGGTTTAGGGTTTAGGGTTTAGGGTTTAGGGTTTAGGGTTTAGGGCAGTGGTCAGCTTAGGGTTTAGGGTTTAGGGTTTAGGGTTTAGGGTTTAGGGTTTAGGGTTTAGGGTTTGCGGTTTAGGGTTTAGGGTTTAGGGTTTAGGGTTTAGGGTTTAGGGTTTAGGGTTTAGGGTTTAGGGTTTTGCGCAGAGTGGAGCTGACGCTGTGCGAAGGCCGCAGCGTGGAGTGTACAGACACCTGGACGCGGCCTGTGGGGAAAGGCCGGGCGAAGGGAAAGCAGCGGAAAGAGACGCAGCACTTCCAGCAGCAGCAACTCACTTCTCTCGAGGTCTGCTGCTGCTGCTGCTGCTGCTGCTGCTGCTGCTGCTGCTGCTGCTGCTGCTGCTGCTGCTG